ATACACCTCAGAGCAAACAATACAACAAAGGTGTAATATATTGGGGACCAATAATTCATATGGTGGCTTTGTGGAAACAAAGCTTGCATCAGAGCTAAAGAGAAAACAGCACAGATGTCTCTTGTCTCTGCTTTGCTCTGTTGTAATAATCTTAGAAGTTCAGAATAGATGTATTTTTATTTTCACTCTTAATAAAATAACAAAGCTCAACACTTATTTTATCTTTCATCATCCACAGGAAAACACTTTTTTAGCTGCAGTCAAGTTCTTTATTTTTTGCTTCACTGAGTATAGCAATGAATTCAAGTTAAGTGGTTGGTGGGTATTAGTTATGACTCTAGGAACCTGCTGGGGTCCAGCCCCAGCGGGTCCAGGGGTTCCCAAAGGTGTGGACGGAGTCGGCGAAGAATGTTTTACACGGAGACAGTGTTCAGAACTCTCTAGCTTTCCTTAGTCTCCGTGGATCTTCCTGTGCCTGGCTGCGGCCACAGAGAGAGAGGAGATATCCCAAGGCAAGCTGAGCCTTTATTTTATAGCGAGAGGTAAACAAGGTAGTGGTTTCTATAGTTACACAGTTCTTGTGAGTTTCACTTGTTTTGACCATAGTTACACTTCCTGCACTTCCCTCAGCCCATTAGCTTCCCAGATAAGATCTAGAGAGCCTCATAAGGTCAAGCCTAATTATGCTAAGAGGACTGTGCCCTCTAAGCTGGGAATTGTTTGTGACTTTGCCCACATGTCAGTCCGAGGCTTAACCCTATATCAGCTCCCCACAGGAACCCTTAATTCATTTAATATATTTTAGAAAATAATGAATATTGAGTTACTTTAGTAACTTTTATTTTTAAAATATAGCACTCTGCCATATTTTCCTGCTTTTTGCCTAATACCTTCCGGTATTTTGTAATTCTATTTTCTATTAGAAAAATAAAAAAAGAGTTAGCATGAGTCAAAAATATGAAGTTCAATATAGGATTATGAAATTTGAAATTACTATGAAATCTAAAATTATATATTTATTATCTCAGCAATGTTCCACTTTATTTCCAAGGACCTATTTATTCTACACTATTTCAGACTATGAATTTCTAAAAGAATTAAAGAAGAGGATATATTCCTTTCACTCAGCTATCAAACCAAATATACATATAAAATTTTTCAGAAAGTGGTATTTACTCAATAACATTCTAATTTTTCATATTAAAAGTATTGAAAAATACAATTTAGGCATTAAAGAAAATCACATGTATAAGTGAGTTAGTATAATTTCAACATATTTTTAATTTCCAATTTTTGATCAATGACTAACTGTAAAAAAATATAAAGCACCCAGCTGGTGTGGCCCAGAGATCACAGTTCAGTTCCCAGTCAGGGCAAAAGCCTGGGTTGTGGGCTCAGTCCCCAGTGGGGAGCATGCAGGAAGCAGCTGATTGATATTTCTCTCTCATCATTGATATTTCTATCTCTCCCTCTCCCTTCCTCTCTGAAATCAATTAAAAACAATATATATACACACACACACACACACACACACACACATATATATATATATATATATATATATATATACACACATGTATATATATAGCATATAAAGTATGCTTTCATATCTCTAAGGAGTCTTCATAAAATCTTCAATAAGTTTTTTCTATCTTAATTCATCTATTTAAAATAATTTAAATCAATTTTTAATTTATTTAAATAATTAAAATTGGGTGCAAGTATTTATAATAATAAAAGCATAAAATGCTAATTAGACTGGACAGTCAAATGACCTTCCAGATGTCCTTTCAGACAACCTTCTGGATGAAGGTGGGGCTGCGAGGGCCGAGGCAAGCCACAGCAGCTGCAAGGCCGAGCCCCTTGCACGAATTTTGTGCACCGGGCCTCTAGTGTTGAAATAAGACCCTTTATTTTTCCCTACCACAAACCCACCTTCTAAGAAATGTCAATATCTATAGGAGTAGAGAGTAAGAACCATTAGGTGGCCGAGTTCTCATTACCATACTAACTTCCTGGGTTGCCCCAATCCACACAATGTTTGAAGCTGACAGCTTAGAAGAGTTTCTGGGAGCCAGGTAAGATGCACTGATGACAGATGTGCAGGGGGAAAGCTTTGACAGAGACATGCACATCCCCCATGGCCTTGCAAAGTGAATTCTTAGATTATTAGGCACACCTCCTATTTGAGGCTGTGATCATTTGCCCTAGGGTCCTCTTCTTCTCAGGTTTCCTCAATCAGTCCCCTTTCTGTCGCTTTTCATGTTGAGATGTTTATAGGTGTTTCTTGTGAAAGGTATTTGAAAAGTGTAAGAATTATGTGTAGAACACTTGCAACTCTTCAGAGGAAAACTGCCATAAAATCTAATACATAAATAATAAATCAACTCAACAGATGTTGACTTTTTCTTGTCAGACAGCGACTTTAAACTCCTGATTCAGAATCTCTTGACAGAATAAATAAACTAAAAGTGAAACTCAATTTGTCTACCTTACTTGAGGACAAAAGATGAAAAAAAAACAGGTAGATTAAACAGAATTATCTATATCCTATCAAACAAGATGAGACAAGGAGCATCAGTCATATCTTAAAGCAGATCTTGTAATAAAAAGTAACATGCAAAGCAGGATTTTTTTCCAGTTGAATATTCTATGTTTTAAACGGAAATTAATAAACCCAAACCATATGTTCTTAATTAGATTCTGAAAATAATTTAACACATCTTTTATATTTTTTTAAAGAACAGAGGCACTGGATATTATCCGACTATATTAAAATCTAAACACTGAGAATCACCTTGCAATATCTTTTCCAAAAAAGCACCTTTTTCTCACATTATAAGAACATTAGTCAAGAAGGAAACATAATCTTTATATCAAGAAATGGAATATAACCCTCTGGAATTTTAAGTTCATTATCTATAGTTGTTGAAAGTTTATCCCCATTGCCTGTATTTCTTTTATTTTTTTCCATTGATTTTTTTAGAGAGTGGAAGAGAGAGGGAGAGACAGAGAGAAATATCGATGTGAGAGAAACACATGGATTGGTTGCCTCCTGCACACACCCCAACCAGGGCGCAGACCAGGGAGGAGCCTGCAACCTAGGTACATGCCCTTGACTGGAATTCTATCCACAGTCCGAAATTCTATCCACTGAGCCAAACCGGCAGGGGTTGAGGGTGGGAACTGGATGAAGGTGGGATAAAGGTATAAACTTCCAGAAAAAGAAAAAGAAAAAGATAAAAAAGAAACCTACGTACACTTATCATCTGTTTTAAAGGAAGTTCCGGTGTGCTCCTCCCCAGAAAACCACATTTTAAACTTTAGTTATTTCATTGCTTTTCCTTGTAATTGTACCAAGATAATTATGTTGCTAAATGATATGTAATTTAGCCTTGCATGATGTTATATGTAATTGTGATCATTCCACATCACTCACATTTTCGATTCAACATTATGTTCCTTAAAGTCATTTCTGTTCTTACATAGGTTGATTTTCATTGCCATATAATATAATATTCCAATCTCCTTTCAATGGGCTTTGGGTTATTTGTAGTCTTTAGTTAATATTAATAGCACTGTCACGAGCATCCCATACGTGTTGCCTGGTGCACATGCAACACTTCCTGCAGAGTATGTGCCTAAAGGTGGAGTTGCAGGGTTAGTACATTACTAGATTATTGTTTTTCTAAGTTAGTTTTTCAGATTTCTACCCCTGTAAGTACTGCACTATGGTTATGAGGTGAGAAAGCGCCCCATTACACTCAGGCAGGGAAGGAAAGCGACATAGAAGTTAGAAAACATGAAAAAAGGCTAGCTGAGAAAGTACTGATAATATATTTAAAAGAGACCATGGCATTTGTCCAGGAAAATATTTAGTGTCCAAAAGAGATGTAACAATGAAGATGTATAAATTAGTCCCTGTGTTTGTCCAAAGTAGGAAAACTTTAACAATCTCCTTATAAGTTAAATGTTCAACTTTTAGAATGTGTGACATGAATTACTGTACACTTTGAAGTGGCAGGTTTAAACGCACATTTATACTTACGTATTCGTTTTACTATAGACACACTTTTCGAGTGGTTTTGAGACACTAGATGAGATAGAAAAGGAAAATAGGCCTTTCTGAAGGGCTTAGGTTATTGCTACAGTCACTATTTTTTGATGTAACATAAAATATATGGTTGAAAATATTTAGCACTTCACATATACATACCTTAAAATGTGTATCTTAAAATACATGCTGAAATAGCATTTGCCATCCCAAAGGAGAAAAATTGGGGCCATCTAGAGAACAGGTATATTCCCATTAAGAGATTGTAGTAGCCAATTAATCTGGAATGTCGTTTTGTTAGTGGGTGAAGGAACCCAAACTCTTGATGTTGTCCTAGGTGAGACTTGGACATATTCTGCATTGTAAGCATCACAAAAAGACAGCACACCATACAAGAACCTGCTGTAGCATAAAGTGGGTATGAACTAAGCATTTTTTACTTGTTTTATTAGCTCCCTTTTGCCTACATGTGAAACTGAATGGTTCTTGGATTAGGCCAGGGAAATGTAATTTAGGAGACACAAGGATCTCTTTTAGATGTGGTTAGAGAGCGTGAATACAGTGAGGGAGATCAAGCAGTTAGTGGCCAGGGAATGGGACCAAGATACGAATGTTAGTGGTTAATGGTCTGTGTCTAAAGTGAATTTATTTGGATCATCAAGTATTGCCTTAAGTATTTATATTACATGACTTAACACATACAACCTTCTGAACATAAATTAATTCTTATAAATCCAATATACTAAACTTATAGATGCATTAGATGTATTTGTACTGAGAACAATTTAGTAAGATTTTACCTCAAAATCAAAACCTAAATCAATTATTTGTATCATTGCTGGGATCTTCAGAACTGTAACTACAAAGATTTTTTGTATAGATGTACTCTCATTCTTTAATACTTAGGACTATATAATTCTTAAAGAAACTTAGTCTTTTCTCCCCAGTGGAGAGTGCAAACGCAGTCCCCCACAACCACAAATTATGCAGCTGCTTTTCCACATTTGGAGAAATCACAGGGGTCAGCTCATCCAAGTGCTATGCATAAGCCTTGCCCTGGGAAAACCACCTTCTTAATCATGGCATCTCCCCTGCCAGGTAAGTGTGAGACTTAATCTTTTATCCAAGTGAAATTTTTACATTTCTCTTGGTATTGTCCGCCCACGGGTCGTATGTATCTGTGTGTGTGTTTTAACTGATATTTCCCATGACTCAGAAAAATACCACTTAACTGAGTTAATTGTTTCTAGTTTCTTCAGTGATGCAATAAAATAGACCAGATGAATAAATGACTTTGCTTTGGAATATTTTATGATTCACGCATTTTTAGACTTAATGTGATTCAATAGACCACAGCCATTTTTCTCCTTTTTGATGCTCAAATTCTCACAATTTTGGCCTGAGAGAGCCCCATTAATGTTGACTTCTGTGACCCTTTGACATGATGCCATTAATATTTAAAAGCCTCTTTGCTTTCAGACACAACATGATTTTTCAGTCTCGTTTATACATTCCTGCCCTTAACATTCTTATATCCAAGGAAGTCTGGTTCATTTGAGTGGAAAAATACAATTAACAGTGAGAATCTGGACACCAAGGTAAACCCTTTCAGTGGATGCAGCTACAGACAACATGTCTTTTTTTCCTTACAAAGTCATCTCTAATAATAAAAGTGTAATATGCTAATTAGACCAGACATCCTTCCAGACGACCTTCTGGACAAAGCCAGGGTTGCGAGGGAAGCCTGGGTCCCAGGTGCCAGAGGGAAGCCCGTGCTGGCAGTGGGGGAAGGAAAGCCTACTCTTGCATGAGTTTCATGCATCGGGTCTCTAGTACAGCCATACTGATACTTCCAATTAAGTTCTAACAGTAAATAGTTCCCTTTTAAATTTTTAATTCTGTATTGTATTTGTACCTTCTTTCTTTTAATGCTAAAAAATAATTATCTGCCCTATTAAAGCTCATCATCACTTATTTGTGTTATCTGAAAAATCTAAGAAAATGTATCCAAAATTATGTGACATTGAAGCAAGCAATAATATAATTGAATAAAATTCAAAATATTTTATATGCACTTTCCTTTGTCCTTAGACTATACTCACTAGTAATATTTTATCAGATTACTTTGTTCTGGAGTTGCTCTTCATCTCTCAGACCATGCGATTATATAATAATTATTTGATGGTCAGTTTGGCTTCATTTTTTTAGTTCACTTTCAATTTAAAATGTTGGCATTTGAAGCTCCTAAAATATGGAGACTTCCATCTACTAGTGTTTTCTTGGTAGGAGGAAACATGTGAGGAGAAGAGAGTTTTTTCTTCTTTGCCATTAATTAAAACTCAGAATAGGTCAGTCTCCATAATTATTTGGTCCATCTATATGACTTAATAGATAATTATAGGCTCAAGATGAATACATATGAAATTTACCTGGGTAAGCCATCTCTTCCTCCTATTGTTTAATTCTCAGTACTATTAAAATCCCTGTGTGTCTACATACTGAGTTAAGTTTTAACTCTACTAAATGCCATCCTGATCTTAAAACTTTTTATTTGGCTTCTTTTTCTAAGGTACAAGTTTTTAATCACTGTTTTCTAATCAACATAATATATCATGTTATGTAGTATTAAATCAAGATTACAACATAGATGTGCAAAAATTCTTTCAATAGTAGTTGTAGACTTTAATTTTTCTGCAGGGTGATAAAAAAATATGCATAGCCTTGCCCTAGCCAGTGTTTCTCAATGGTTAGAGCATCAGCCTGCCCACTAACGGGTCTTGGGTTCAATTCCTAATCAAGGGCATGTACCTGGGTTATAGGTTCCATACCTGGCCCTAGTCGGGGTGTGTGCAGTAGGCAATCAATCGATGTGGATGTGGCTCTCTCACATCAATGTTTCTCTATCTCTTCCTCCTTCCCTTTCACTCTCTCTAAAAAATCAATAGAGCCGAAACCGGTTTGGCTCAGTGGATGGAGCGTCAGCCTGCAGACTGGGGGGTCCCGGGTTCGATTCCGGTCAGGGGCATGTGCCTGGGTTGCGGGCGCATCCCCGGTGGGGGATGTGCAGGAGGCGGCTGATCGGTGCTTCTCTCTCATCGATGTTTCTAACTCTCTCTATCTCTCTCCCTTCCTCTCTGTGAAAAATCAATAAAAAAAATATATTTAAAAAAAAATCAATAGAAAAAATATCCTCTGGGTGAGAAGGATTAACAAAAAAAAATAACATATAGTCTTGTAATTCCATTTGATTAGCAATAAAGTACAGGCATTTGATGTTTTGCTTAAAATCTTTTGACTCATGATCAGAGTTCAAACTTTATTTATATGGATATTATTGTTACCTCTAATTACTAACAAATCTATAGCAAAACTCTAATTTTTAAGAGGCCTTTGGATTAAGTATAGACATCTATTACTTTATACTATATGAATTCAAATTCTCAAGTGTCAATTAGATATATTAGAAAATATAATAAAGGTATATCAAATAAACTATAATTAAGTTTTTAAAATAGCTAGAGAAATGTGTCTGGGATTATATTTTAATTATTATCTACAAAATTCAGGTGGAAAAATTTTTATAAAATCATATAACTTCAAGATTACATGAATAAGTAGATGAATCCTGCTAAAACTGATGTATAAAATATTCAGTTTCTATAATTAGAGCACATTTCAATTACATTATGTTTCAATTTTACTCCTTTTTTTAGAGAGAACAAATTATATCATCTATAAAACAGATATTAACTTGCAAGTTTAAATAGAGCCATTTACACAGTTATTCATATTTCAATGTAAGCTTTTATTCAGTATCTTCTGATAGACAAAGATTCTTCATTAAAATTCAGATAATTTTTTCACCACTTTTTCATGTTTACTCTGATGAAGGAGTTCCAATTTGATCAATTTCCAATGGCTCAAAAGTTAACTTTAATAAAATAATATTCTCCTGAGCAGGAATCTTTTTCTAGAAATGTAATTACCTTCTACTTCTCACCAGAAGTAGCAGACACAATGGTCATTTTGTAGACATGACAGGATGTCAAAGCACAATACCAGAAGAATGAGGGCAACACAGTAGATGTGCCTTATTTGTGAGGGACATGTTCCAAGACCCCCAGTGGATGGCTGAAATCATGGATAACACCTAACTCTACATATACCAAGTTTCTATTCCCTATACGTATGTATCTTTCCACTTAAAGGAAGCACTTTATGGCTTTTCTTTGGTGTATCTGAATTGCTAGCATTAGTACTTTTGTGTTTTGAGGAAATATTAAGCAAAATAATGATTATTGAAGCATAGATACTGCAACACCACAACAGCTGATCTAATAACACAGATGGCTACTAAGTGACTAATGGGCAGGTGTATATACAGCATGGATACACTGGGCAAAGAAATCATTCACATCCAGGCAGGAAGGTAATGGATGAATGTGATTTCGTCTTGCTACTCAGAATGACTCACAAATTCAAAATATATGAATTGTTTATTTCTGAAATTTTCCATTTACCTTTTTTGGACCACAATTGACCATGGGTAACTGAAACCATGGAAAAAAAAAGTGAGGTTAAGGGGAGACTACTATACACTTTAGAGCAAGCATGTCAAACTCAAAGGCTAACACGGGCCAAATAAACAAGGTTTAAGTTTATGTGGGCCGCAAAAAAAACAAAAGCTTCAATTTTCATAGCAATGTAGGTTTATTTCGATAGAGACATGCTAAATACAAAGGGCTGAAATAAATGAGTAATAGTTAACATAAAATAATAGAACATTTTAATAAAAATTAATATTTTTTCTTGAACATTAACTTACCAGACACTGAATAACTACACAAAATAATAAATGTAACACAAATAAACCAATTTTTTTCTTGTTCTCCAAAAGGAAAATATTTCCTGTTGCACACACCAAACAAGTCAGTCCAAGACAAATGCCTTGGCCATCGGCTGCTAAAATATTCGCTGCTGGTATTAGTGGAGAGCAATGGTGCGCCTGCGCATAAGGCGGGGAAGGGAAACGAATGCAACACAGTTATAGTAATCAGTCATTAGCGAACATTGTAGTTTGTTTTTCATAATTATGTATAACAGGATATTGTAAAAATTAAGTTATGAAATTTTTATTAAAATGTTTCTTACATATCGTTATGTTGGCTGGGCCGAAAAAAATACATTGTGGGCCTCATGTGGCTCACGGGCCGTGAATTTGACATGCTTGCTTTAGAGGCTCAGTTATGTACCCTTGTGACCATGTGGCTCACTGGGAGCTGTTGCTGCCCAGCATCGCAGAGCATATTGTGCTGCATATCACTAGCTGGGGAAAAGAGCAAAATTCAGAATTCAAAGTAGGGTTTCTACTGCATGTGCATTGCTTTGGCACCATCCCAAATTCATAGAATCGAACCACTGTAAGTCGGGGACCATCTGTAATAGTAAACTTTGGACTTTAAAGTAGTTGAAACACTAAGAAAATTGTAATCTAAAAATCAAAAAACTTCCACAGGTAGGACAAGCTGCTGGAGTTTAAGTCAGGGCTCTGGTTCATCTTCCTTGTAATGCTCTTAGCTCCACTCTCTGTGTGTTGGTAGCATTCTTGCTCTGGTAACATATGGCTATCGCAGTTCCAATCTTTGCACACAGATGGAGCCTTCCAGCAGGCTTTCTCATGCCTCTTTGGATGGAATCCCATCACATGCTCATAAAGCTCAGCTCAGTCATTGGCAAAAAATAGAAATACCCTGAATTGGCTTAGAAACATCAAAATCCACACTTGGGGCTTGAGCAGGAACCAACCTTCACTGAAGCTTATGTATTCAGAGGAGGATGGACACATGGATAAAACTAAAATTATGTTAGGAAGGCAGAAATATGAATGTCCAAAGGCAAAAAGCATTGTCAATTGCAATCGGAAAATATGACAATGCAGGTTGATATTGTTGATATTTGATAGCATTGAAAAATGTATTTTACATAGTCCTCAAACTTCCAGTACACTTTCATTTTTATTTCATAAAGTAAAAATATTATTTTAGCATTATGAAATTCACCACTATCATAGTTTGTAAAATTTGAAAAGACTACCAATAGGCAAAAT